TGTTGCAGGGCGCCCGTTCCCTTAAATGAAAAACCCCCAAAAAAAAAAAAAAAAAAAAAAGAAAGAAAAAAAAGCCTTTTATTGTTTTGTTTTTGGAGACATTTTTGCTATAGGGCACACTTATGCTCACCATAGAGACAGAGAGAGATGGAGAGAGAAAAAGTAAGAAATCATCCCCTGAAGGATGGCCACACTGCAATCTCTTCTCCTCCACTCTCCTCCTGGAATTTTGAGTACACATGCACATGCACCCAGAGTGAGTTTCAAGCCACTGGGTCCAAGACTACTATTATCTCATGTTATAACCACATTGCCACTTACGGGCTCCACCAAGAAGTCATTTTTAGGTGTAAGAGCAGAGAAATACTCTTGCCATCCACCATGTATGACATACCGTGTCTTATTAGAATCCTATTTATGGTAGACGTTTGTGATAAAAATGTTGAGTCTACTTGGATGAAGTTGGAAAAAATCCAGTAGAACTTTTTAGTTTTTTCTTAAAAAATAAAAAAGTTAAAATTTCTTCTACCCATACTGGTGACTAATATCAAACTGATATTTTTAATTAGAAAGGGAATTCCACAAAATAATAATAAATTAGCCAAAATAAGCAGATCCACAGAAAACTATCAATCTCCCATCAAAAGAAAATTAACATTATTTTTGGCTTATTACATCTACAGCTTACTCTCACACTAATAACTGAGAGCTATAAAAAGAATAATTTTTATGTAGTAATTCCTTTTTTTTTTTCTTTTTTTGGAGAGGTTTTCACTATAGGGCGTGTGCACTTGCTAGAGAGGCAGAGAGAGACAGAGACAGAAAGCAAGAAATCACCCCCCAGGTGGGAATGGCCATACTGCAATCCCTTCCCCTACATTCTCCTCTCAGGATCTTGGGCACGCATGCACATACGCCCGGCGTGAGTATAAACCACCGGGTCTGGGACTCAAATCACAGTTGACTACATGGGAGTCCAATGACATAGCCATTAGGCTAACTGCTGGTCCCTCTCTGTAGTAATTCTTTAAGACTTACTGAGAACTTACTTGGGAATTCTCTAAGACTTTTCTAAATATTTTACTTTATTTTTAAGGTTTTTGTCATAGGGCACATGTGCTCACCAGAGAAAGACAGTGAGAGGTAAAGTGAGAAACCACCCCCAGGAGAGATTGCCAGCCACACTCCTCTCTCTGCTTTGGGCATGCATATACAAGCACCTAGCATGATTTTAAAGCTTAAAGTAATGTCCAGGGCTCAAACCATACAGTTGGTCATGTGGATCCAGTGCCTTAACCAACATGCCACCTGCTAGTCCCTGAGAACTATTTTCAAAGAACCATTGAGAAAGTTTGATTTAGGGAGAAGAGAAGAGAGCCTCAGTTTGAAGCATGAAAAAGTTCAAAGTTTACATATCAGATGGAGGAAAACTGGCTGATTAAGGACGAGTAAGACAAGCAACCTGTGAGGTAGCAGAAAATCCAAGAGAATATAGAATCATTGAAACTGAATCAGTAGATAATTCTATTAGGATGGAAAGATCAGCTTTGTTATACTTTGATAGGAGGGCAAGTGATATGAAATCTTAATAATGTGTGTTGGACTTAGCTTCAGGGATGTTTCAGAAGAAGTTTAATTAGTAAATGAGAGCCAAGGAAATGGAGTTATTGAGTAAAGACAACTGTTTCTTTTCTGCCCTAGTTCCTGCGCACAGGTAAAGATAAGAGAGGGGGGTGGCAACTAGAAAGGAAAGTGGGATGAAGAGACATTTCTAAAAGAAAGTACTTGTATATGTTTAACCAATGAAAGGAAGAATACAGTAGAAAGAGAAAAAGCAAACACACAGTAGGGGAGGAAGATAGTAAACAGTATAGGAAGGAAATGAGATTCTGAGGTTGAGGGGAGGATTGGCTCTTTAGCAAGTAGCCTTACCTTTGCAACTGCAATGGAAGAAGGAAACAATGCATACAGAGGCAGACAGGCTTGTAATGAGGATAATGCCTTGGGTTTAGCTTGTTTGGAAGGAATGCCATCTTCTTAGTTTTTAAATCTGGGCTCTCGTGAATACATTACAGTACCTTAAATGCAAAGTAACACAAAACTTTCAGGTTTAAAATAATAGCATTTTACAATGTACATATATCTTTCCATGCTGTCCCTTTTTATCCCCTCCCACTACCTTACTGTGCTCCTTTTGTCCCCTCTCCCCCAATTCCCATTCCATGAAACCTAAAACAATGGACTTTTTAAGGTTGTTAGGTAGGGTCAATAATTCAAAGGCTTTTGTGAATTTCTACAGTGGTGAACCTATTTTCCAGGAATCAGAGCCATAACTGGACTTTGCATAAGAACATGCTCCATATGCCACTACTCTTATCAGGCATTAAATCAAAAAGATCAAAAATAAATAATAAGCTCTAAATTCAAGCACAGAACACATCACAAACAACCTCCATTCTATAATCCTTCCAATTCCCTGTATCATGTAAGTATATATTGTAAATGTTTGAGATTTAAGATAATTCTGATAAGAAAAAATATTTATGTTTTTGAGAAAAAGTAGGTAGGGATATGGGAAGTTAAAGATTAATTACCTTTGTTCTTCCAAGTAGGAACAAAACTGGGCTACTGTTCAACTTCTTGGTTTAATTTTGATGCTAAATTAGCTTTTAAAATCACAACAAAGTGGGCAAATAAATAACTCTCAATGATACAGCACAGGGATCAAGAAATCATTTGTTATTCTGGATGCTGAATATAGAAAATAAATTCCTCTAAATGAGACTGAGAATCGGGCAAATAGCTTTATTATACAGAAATATTTTGACCTATAGAGTTTAAGATTTTCACTGGCACAAAAGTTTTAAGTATAAGTAAAATTTAAATTTTACATGAGATAAAAAGCTCTTTAAAGAAGAGCAAGGTTTTTATTTATTTATTTATTTATTTATTTATTTATTTGGAGAGATTTTAGCTATAGGGTGCATGTGCTCGCCAGACAGAGAGAGACATAGAGACAGAAAGCAAGAAATCACCCCCCAGGGGGGTGGTCACACCGCAATCCCTTCTCCTCCATTCTCCTTTCGGGATCTTGGGCACGCACGCACACACGTCCGGAGTGAGTTTTAAGCCACCGGGTCCAGGATGTGAACCACGGTCGACTACGTGGGAGTCCAGCGACATAGCCATTACTCTAACTGCTGGTTCCCAAGAGCATGGTTTTTTTAAAAATAATTATTTATTTTATTTTATTTATTCATTCACTTATTTTATTTTTTTAATTTGACCAGAGAGAGACAGAGGGTGAGAGTAGAGGGAGAAAGAGAGGAAGTGAAAAAACAAGCCACCATATTCAGGACCTGAACCCTGGTCGGCTATGTGGGAGTGTCCAGCGCCTTAACCACCATGCCACCTGCTGGTCCCCAAGAAGAGCATGTTTTGAAATAGGTTGAGTCATATTAAATTTCTGGCTTTTCAAGCTAAAAAGGATGAAATAGCAACAGCGATATATCAATCTACTATTACAAGAAAGTAACACCTGATAGGCACTTGATAAATTCTTAAATGAATGGGTAAGTCTGAAAATTCAAGCATGTATTCTACTGTCTGGGCAGTGTATTATAGGAAAGGACATCAATAGAAAGTGAATTTTAAATATTCAATAACACTGTGTATGATTGCAAGTTTACTACTATGTAAACAAAAACTTGGGCCAGCAGGTGGCATAGTGGTTAAGGTGCTGAACTCCACTTAGTTTACTGAGGTTAAAGTCCTGGACCCGATGGTTTGAAACTCACATGGCCCAGATCCCAAGAGGACAATGGAGGAGAAAGGATAGTAGTGTGGCCAACCCCTCTGGGCGGGGGGGCGAGGATGATTTGTCACTTTCTGTTTCTGCCTCTCTCTCTCTGGTGAATGCACATGCCCTATAGCAAAAATCTCTCATAAATAAATAAATAAATAAATAAATAAATAAATAAATAAATAACAAAATAAAACAAAAACTTACTATCATCAAATGAGTTCTTGACAGTTTCTAATACAATCAATAGAAAGTAACTGTCTAGAGTCCAGAATAATCACTTGATTGGTATTTTAGAAATATCGAGCCAGTAGAAGTTGCTAAAACATTAGATAATGGAGGAGTGTAGCTTAAGAATTTACCTTCAATGAAGCAGCAGATAGCATAGCGGTTACATCGCTGGACTCCCACATAGCCAGTTGCAGTTGAATCCTAGACCTGGTGGCTTCAGAATTACACCAGGCACATGTGCATGCATGCCCAAGATCCCAGGTGGAGAACAGAGGAGAAGGGATTGTGGTGTGGCCATTCCCCTTGGGGGTGATTTCTTACCTTCCCTCTCACTGTCTCTGTCTCTGTTTCTCTCCAGCCAGCACATATACCCTAAGGCAAAAACCTCTAAAACAAAAACAAAAACAAACAAACAAAAAACCTTACTTTTGGTTACTAAAAGTAAATTTGTTTTTTCCCCACTTTCTTTTTCAATATTAGAGAAATAAAACACAGAAAGTCCATAAACTCTAAAATAAGCAAAATAATCTTTTACAAGAAAATACTGAATTTAAATGTAAACGTTATTACACAACTTTTGGAAATTTTTAAGTTGGGCATATTTAATAGGAGCTGCAATTTTCAAGTAACTTTTTAATTTAGATTTTTGGACTATCTTCCAATCTAAATTGCAGAGCACTGCCCCTCTTACAAACATACAGCACATTCGCTATCATATCACTATATTATATTTTTACATCATTTGTAATTACTTAAAATACTTATTTGTTCAATAAGTAGATAAACCTATTCATTTTGCAATTATGCATTGAGTATCATGTAAAAACAGCTATCTTCCTTTCTTTTTTTTTTGGAGAGGTTTTCGCTATAGGGCGCCTGCGCTCGCCAGACAGACAGAGAGAGACATAGAGACAGAAAGCGAGAAATCACCCCCCAGGGGAGATGGTCACGCCGCAATCCCTTCTCCCCCATTCTCTCGGGATCTTGGCCACACGCACACACATGCGCCCAACGTGAGTTTTAAGCCACTAGGTCCGGGACGCGAACCGCAGTCGACTACATGGGAGTCGACTACATAGCCATTAAGCTAACTGCTGGTTCCCAAGCTATCTTCCTTTCTTAATAATAAAACTTTTTAGCAGATGATAGCTCTAGTTCAAGATGCAGATAATCTTCTGGTTCTTTTTGATCTCCAGTTGAAAATACACATTCCATTATATGATAAAAGACAATAATACCAGTCATATTGAAAAAGCCATCATAAATTGTTAATTTTTAATTTTTTTTAAAAATTAAAAGACAAATATGCCTCTTTTTGCAAGCAATTTAGTAACAAACAGCCATTGCACTGAGATGCCTCAGTAACTCCTCTAATTAGTCACTATGAATTTGTGCTTGCATGAAATATTCTTGGCACTGTGCTAAGCATCATATATGCTGCATCTCATTTAACCCCACAAAAATCCTTTGTGGTAGGTACCAATATTTAGTCCATTTTCAACATTAGAAAACTGAAGCTTATAATAAAGATTAAATAACTTTCTCAGAGTAACGGAAGTAGTATAGAATAGAACTGTGATTCATACCATGTTTCATCCACATCCCTTGCCTTTAATCTCTATAGTCTTTCATTTGGTAATTAAAATACCTTCCTTATTCAGAAAACTAATGCTGTTCCATCCTCATAAGAAACCACCAGCAAAAGTAGAGGCCTTCTCAGAAAGGCCACAGAAATAATGGCTCTCCTTCTTCGCCCTAACAGAGACATACGTTTCAATAACTTAAGTACATTTTTCCCTATAAGTTCAACCTACATCTTAAAACATGGAGTTTTATAAAATGTTTAAGGAATTCAAAGGTAAACCCAAGTTATGGCCCCTATTCACATGTCATTCTCTGCCTCCGAACTGGAAGCCAAAGAACTCTTTTTAATTAGAATGATTACTCCCTTCTCTCCATCAAAAAACATAATGTTATACTTTTTCTCAACTCTCCTTAACACTCTCCTCAATGAAGGGATTCCAGAATTGTCTTAACTGACTCCAGGACAAAAAATGTTTGCTTATCACTATTGAGAGCACCCTATGCTCACAAGGCTGCTAGGCTGTGTGTATCTTTGTTTCTTTCCCATGAGTGAGTCGGTATTTGTCCAGTCTACCTTATTAAATTGAAGCTCTGAAAGTAAAGATTCTACAGTAAATGTGCTACCCACAGCAAATCATTAAATCCAGACTGAAACTCAACAAGTGATTGTGTCATTCTGCTGAGAAGTGAAATTCTGTAGACAAGGTCATCAAATCCTTTCCCACTTGGGGTGTTTGCTTTTACTGGCTGCCCCACAGTCCTGTGCCACCTCCAAAACCAGGAAGCACATGGTGCTTCCTGTCCTTTCTAATATCTTGCAGGAAATGCTTGGCTTTGGGGAATTGTGGATTCATTGGCTAGAAATGTTAGCAGAGGAGACAGAAAAAGCTGCCACCAAATCCAGACAGTGGAATGGCTATTGCCTGGCCAGGTGTTTGACTTTCTACACTCCCCCTGCTGTTCCTTCTTTGAATCCTGTCTACACATAAATAGTGATTGTGTACACACCAATATAAACTTTATGAGTTCATTTAGATGTGAAGTCTAAACATTAAGTATATTAAATATTTCACCTAATATATTTTCTTCTTAGAATTCTTCAATTCTAAATTGTTACTATCCATCTAAAATAATGAATCATTCCATTTTTTCATTGGAAAAAAAACATAAGGCTCCAATTCATTTTCATCCCTATATTCACCAACAGAGAGCAAACTATTCACAGGAAAAAAATTAATTTCAAGTTTCAGAGGACTTAAGATAAAATTACTAATATTTATTGTGTGTTTATTACTGTGTCCATATTCTCCAAGCAGCAGGTGCCTAGACAGAATTAGATAATAAAGAAGTATACTTAGGGAAATGCTTATGGAGTATAAGGGGCCCAAGAAGCGGGAGGAGCTGGTAAAGACTTCAGACCTCATTGCAGTTTTTCATACTTCTTTATAAAGAACTGATGAA